AGCCCCTAGTAGCTTCTTGTTACTACTAGTAAAGCACTTGTTACTAGAAGCGATGCACTTGTTACTAATAGCGTCCTTGCTCCTAGTAGTAAGGCCAGCAGCCCCTAGTAGCTTCTTGTTACTACTAGTAAGGCACTTGTTACTAGAAGCGATGCACTTGTTACTAGTAGCGTCCTTGCTCCTGGTAGTAAGGCCAGGAGCCCCTAGTAGCTTCTTGTTACTACTAGTAAAGCACTTGTTACTAGAAGCGATGCACTTGTTACTAATAGCGTCCTTGCTCCTAGTAGTAAGGCCAGGAGCCCCTAGTAGCTTCTTGTTACTACTAGTAAGGCACTTGTTACTAGAAGCGATGCACTTGTTACTAGTGGCGTCCTTGCTCCTAGCAGTAAGGCCAGGAGCCCCTAGTAGCTTCTTGTTCCTAGGGCCAAAATATCGACATGAAATGCGTATGCGAGTCACACCTTTTTCCAAGCCAGATCTATTTAAAGGCTTACGCCTAACAGCCGGGCGCCGGCCCACTTGGGTCTGTGGGGCGTATGTCACGCCCATGTTGGCCTTGGTGGGGCCTATATTGAGCAAAGTTAAGCTATCTGGTGCGCATCTTGGCCCTAGGTTGGGCCAAGTGGGGCCCATGTGGTGTATGTTGGGCACATCTTGGGCCCATGTTGAGCCTATGTTGGGCCTATGTTGAGCCTATGTTAGGCCTATGTTGGCCTATGTTGGCCTAGGTTGGGCCTACGTTGGGCCTATGTTGGCGTGTGTTGGGCCCATGTTGGCCTATGTTGGCCCTATGTTGGCCCTATGTTGAGCCATCTTGGAGGCTATGTTGGGCATATGTTGGGGATATGTCGGGTATCTTGGGCCTATGTTGGGGACATGTGAGGCAATTTATGTTGAAAGAATCTTCCGATACAACTTTTTTACGAACTTTTCCTTCCCGCAAAGCAAAAACACTGAAAAAAAACTACGTTTTTTGACATCGCCTAGCTGAAATTCTCGTCCGCCGAGGGCCCCAAAACCCTGTAAAACACGAGGCTTTTGAACATCGCACGCAAGAAACACTGTAAATTACAGTGACTTCAGTGACCCGGTAGTGACGAGGGGGTCCGCCCGTTTTGGTGACGAGGGTCGGCGGCAGGGGGGCCGACCGTCTATAAAACCTTCGGTTACCACCGAAGGCCCTCCGGGCAGGGCACGGGCTTCGTGGCCGGCGCCCGGATTTACCAGGCTACCGCCTGCAGCCGCCGACCCCAAGGGAAAATGTAGTGGCAGGGTTGGGTCCCGGGATGGTCGCGGGCGGGGTCTAAGGCTAAGGACTAGGTCTAAGGCTAAGGATAAGGCTAAGGCTTAAGTCTAAGGCTAAGGCTAAGGCTTAAGGCTAAGGCTTAAGGCTAAGGCTTAAGGCTAAGGCTAACATCGACAGTCACGCCTCACCCCACGGTGTGGGGTCGGCGGAATTGCCATCCACAAAGCGCTCGCAAATTGTGCGTGCGCAATACGAACAAGCAGCTTCTTTCTGGCCAAGCTATGCTAAGCTTACCAAATAGGGAGTGTTTGGTTTGGCCAGCGGATCCTGACACCTGCCCCATTGGCATTGTTTCAAACACTCAAGATCTCCCAGCAAGCGGGCAAGACTCCTTTTTCGAAACTGACCTCTCTTGGCTTAGATTGCAGTACCCTGCAGGTGCCAGACCACCGACAACAGATCCATCAAAGATTGTCCCCATTTGTGAGGCGGGCACAGTCTGTGTGACCATTTGCTTTTTGCTTGTGGATTTGCATTTGTATCTTTTGTGGCTACTAGTAACAAGGGCATCGCTACTAGGAGCAAGGACGCTACTAGGGACTCCTGGCCTTACTACTAGGAACAAGAAACTATTAGTACCAAAGGGCATCGCTACTAGGAGCAAAGACGCTACTAGGGACTCCTGGCCTTACTACCAGGAACAAGAAGCTATTAGTACCAAAGGGCATCGCTACTAGAACTTTGTTTCAACGAGTTGACGATCCGGAGAGCGTTGCAGGATGACGTTCCGGAGAACGGTGAGCACCGCCCTTGGTGTATTGTTTGTGGGGCCTCTTTCATGGGGAGAGGACTCTTGAAGAGTTGAACTGGTGAGCGTCCATGCTCCTAGTAGTAAGGCCAGGAGCCCCTAGTAGCGTCTTTCGTCCTAGTAGCTTCACCAAACAATGAAGTTGTGCCAATCATGAACGGTTCATGTTGCCTACTAGTAGCAAAGGGCATCGCTACTAGTAGCAAGAAGCTACTAGGGGCTCCTGGCCTTACTACTAGGAGTAAGAAGCTACTAGTAGCAAAGGGCATCGCTACTAGGAGCACGGACGCTACTAGTAGCTCCTGGCATCGTCATTGCCGTCCTGCCGATCCGACATGTTCTGTCGTTGGGCTCAAGCGTCTTGCGAAGAAGAAGAGATCTCGGCCATGGCACCGAGATCGCCAAGCAAGTTAGCCGCAGATGACACGCCCATGGATCCCGAGGAGTTGAAACAGGCGCGTCGAAGGGGATCACAAGGATATCACGTGCAGAAAACAAAGTGCAACATTCAAGATTCACATAAGGTTTCAAGATGGCCTCCAATGAGATTCCACCGTAGTATCAATGGCCTCCAAGCTAGTAGCGGTGGCGTCCAACCTAAGTAGCAGTGATGGCCTCCACCCTAGCAGCGCTGGCCTCCAACCTGGTAGCGGTGGCCTCCAAGCTACTAGTGATGGCCTCCGGTCTAGGTCTTTCAGCGGATCGACCTGGACAACAGTGGTACCTTAGAGCTCGAAGAGCTTGAGACGGCAGCACGGGAGCACGCAGCCCAGCACAGCTCGAAAGTGATGTCCGAATTTGTTGGGTTGATGTACACCCTTCTTGCAGGCTGGGCGTGAAATGCAGCAAGAACTCCTTGAAAAAGGCCGTGACATGCTAATGCCTTTTTCATTGCTTTATGTTTCAACATCGCAAGAAGAGGCAAATTCAACAGCTTAGTTTCTTCATCCGGCCTTTTGTCCCTTGGCACTCTTGACAGCAGAAGATGGCATGTTCAGCACCCTTTGTTTCTTCCCTTTTTCTATGCAGACTTGTTGCTCTTAAACTATCATCTTGTCTTGACTATCACACCAGAGTTGCGGACGTACTTCTCTGCCTTCTATTTGGCAAAAAGCATGGTTTCGGATTGGATGATACTAAGTCTTGTGCCTTACTGTGGTGATGCAAAACTCTTGTCCCTCTTTTACTCTCTCCCTTCCTCTCTCTATCTATATATTTCTTGACTTTTTTCCTCTCTCTCTCTGGCTCTCTCTGTTCTTTTGTGTGGCTAAAGAGTACTTGAGGTGGTCGGGTAAAGTGTCACTTGTGTGATCTTTGTTGTCAGGTGAAACACTCTGTTGAATTTGGTCCACGTCTCTGCGAAGCATGAAGATCCTAAAGCCAATCTATGGGTCTACGAACTGTTGCCCCATTCATGCCATTCTGTCGTAGAGTCGCCTGACTCAAGCGGAAGGTTTTCAAGCTCATTGACATCGACCAAAGTGGCTCCATCGACTTCGATGAATTCAGCATCTTCTTTGCCAAAGCTCTTCGGCCACAGAATTCATGTTAATCATGCCAATCAAAAAGGACGATTCAGCCAGTTCTTGACCTTTTCTCAGTTGAAGAGTCTTGACAAACCCCACTTTTTTGTTCTCGATTCGATCCAATGGACAGCACCTCTGTATACATTGCATGCATTATATAACCAAGTCTAGACTAAGACAGGGACCACCGAAAACGATGCGCAAGTGGGGAACATTTGGAGTGTTGATGGAAGGGCAATGCCCAGACTAGACAACACTCGCTCTCACTGAAATTCAATATACAGTGAAGGGGAAGAAGCGCTCTTGCACAGATGAGCGTTCTTGTTTGCAATAGAACGTGGCAATGGGTGATAGTGATAGGTGATAGGACTTTCGTAGTCCTATCACTCTAGGACTCTAGGAGACCTTGGATTGAACCTAGCAAGATGCAGGAACAGCATGAACCTAAGCACAAGGATGTTGTGGGTGGCTGGGTTGGCGCTTGAAGCAGTAAGGACCACGAACAAGTTTGTAGGCTCTTTAAGGTCCATGAAAGTGCTACCCTTCGGAAGAGGTAGAGGATTGCTTGCTTTGCTTTGCTGTGTCCATTTCTGCAGTGCCTCTTTGTCGAGGTTAGCAATCCCGACAGGATCAAGGCGGACAAGAAACATAATGGGATTCATCACCAGCAATAGCAATATCGCTGTGGCGATGTCGGTACTGGGACTTCTATACCTCTGATATTCTGATATATTATTTTTGTATCTCTTTTTTTTTCAGACTTCCTTCTTAGCAAAAACGCATCGCGACACAGAGCGATGAAATACAGCGATGCCAAGCCGCCGAGCGGTTTCCAGGAAGTTCTGTCGCAAGCCAGTGCGGCCTTCTTGGACTACAGGCGGACACTCTGAGCGAGTCAGCAGTCAGTCATCAGCAGTTTGTCGCCGTTTACAGGTTTCATGTTAATTTTCATTTTCCAGGAACAGTGTGGAGCAAGATCCATCCTTCGCCAAGCACTTCCCCATTCCGCAAGCAGTGAAACCAGCTCCTTGTTTGCAAACATCAGCCTTGGTGTCACTGCAAGTGTCCAAAATCGGAGGCTGCAAAATACAACAGGCATTTGAATGCCACCGTCCGGACCTAAGACGAGAGCGGCTGCACAACATCCGCTCTTGGCACCTCTTCCAGGTCGAGAGAGCCTTGTTAGTAGCGTCCTCTTGTTCCTGGTAGCGAACATTGTTACTACTAGTAAGGCACCTGTTACTAGAAGCGATGCACTTGTTACTAGTAGCGTCCTTGCTCCTAGTAGTAAGGCCAGGAGCGCCCCTAGTAGCGATGGCCTCCAACCTACCTGCCATGGAGGGGCACCTAATGGTGTCCGTGCTAGCGTCCAGGTGGAGAGTGTGCGTTGGGTCGGGGATGGCATCTTCCTTGCTGCGACAGGAGAGGGCAAGGCCGATAGAAAAGCTGACGACCAACCCCTCACCAGTAGCTCCTAGTAAGAATGCTCCTAGTAGCGATGCCAGGAGCCCCTAGTAGCTTCTTGTTACTACCAACCCGAATTCATCCACAACACTGCCAGAATTCTGCAAAGTGCTCGTTATGCAGCTCGTTGTGCTCGCCAGTTGCTCTCATTTGACATCTCCGGTGGTGATGAGCCACTGAAAAGGCCCTGGGCTCAATTTGATGGGCCTTTTTAAGCACAGCACTCAGTTGCGCGGTGCTAGGTGTGAAGTTGGGAGCCCTGTCCCTTGGCATGCAAACAAGGCTCATCTTGGCTTTTCTCCTGTGAAACACCGCCAAGGTGTATTGCATGGATGCGCATGCCGGTGGTCGTGGAGTTCTAGTGGGCTACGGGACCAAAACGGACAGCTGACCGAAGACAGCCATGGCGCAGAACCTTGTCACAGGCCATTTTGCCAGGACAAGACTTGTTCCGTGTTCCCTTTTTACAGGACAACATGGTCTTGTGGAACATGGCGGAAGACCAGGTTGCGCAGAGATTTCAAGGCACTTGCGCCGGATGACATCCTTTCGCCAAATCTGGTGTGCGGTGCGCGTTGAGACTTGAGGTCAAACCACGCCCATTTTCTCATGCTGCCTGGGCAAAGACATCGCACTTTCAGGCGGAAATGACAAGAACGCGGTCCTGCTGAATGACCCAATGACCCCATGTTACTAGTGCATCGGTTCTAGTAACAAGTGCCTTACTACTAGGAACAAGAAGCTACTAGGAGCAAAGGGCATCGCTACTAGTAGTAACAGGTGCCTTGCTGGTAGCAACAATGTTTGCTATTAGAAACAAGTGCATCGCTTCTAGGAGCAAAGGGCATCGCTTCTCTTTTTCTTCAGACCTTTCAACCGGATTTCGCTTTCTTACTCTTTCTTCTTTTCTTCTTCTTTGCCTGTTCCTTTCCTTGCCTTTTTTCTTTCATTGGACCCTTTTTTGGACCATTCTTTCGATTTTTACTCTATTTTCCCGGACTGAACTTGCAGCAAAGCTTGTATCAAACCGAAAGCTTTGCCCCTTCAAGGCGGCAAAGATGGCATGGTGGTTCTGAATGACCTCGAAACTGGCGCATGCATCAGAACGTGGCAAGTTCATGAAGGCGCAATGTGTGGAAGTGCCAAAAGATGTTTTGTGAGAACTTCGTCTTAGAAACTGTTAGTAGCGATGGCCTCCACCCTAGTAGCTTCTCGCTCCTAGTAGTAAGGCCAGGAGCCCCTAGTAGCGTCCTTGCTCCTAGTAGCGATGCCCTTTGTTACTAGTAGCGTCCTCTTGTTACTAGTAGCGATGGCCACCGTAAAAGGCACAAGTTTGGAAAGATTGTTCTTGGGCCCAAGGAAGTGCGGGTGACCCCCCCATATTGAGTGTTCGGCGCTGACCGAAATATATATATATATATATTTAACAGGGAAACCAAACCGATGGAAGCTCTGTCTTCCAACCCTCCAACATGTCTAGACAGACCATGACAGGCCATGACAGACCTAGAGGTGTCTACTTTGTGCTCTCGTTTTTTTCGCGAAACCGGCGTTTTCACGGATTCGTTTCTGGCTGGTTTCTCCCAAGGCCTCGTCACTTCGATCGCCTTAGCCAAGGATGGTCACCAGGCGCTGAGGGATTGCGGTGGCTGCCTAATAGAATCTAATAGATTGGTTCTCCGCATCTCAGCAATGGGAGTGGAAGGATTTGTGGAAGGATTTATACAATCATGTGGTGCCATTGCTTCTAGGTTGGAATGGCCTCCAACCTACTAGCGATGGCAAAGTTCATGTGAATTGTCAATGGCCTCCAACCCTGAAGAACACTCACGGAGCGAGGTGTGCACAGCATCCCGTGATGGCCGCGTGGTGGTCTTCGACATCAATGCTGGGGAGCTTCCAGCTTGCCTCGTTTCCGATATCGAGGCGAGTGACAAGGGACAAAAGAATACGAAAGATAGGAATCTGTTGGAAAACTGAAATCCGCTGCCTTTTCTTGCTACCAATTCTTATTTGAACGAACCTTTTTGGCAGCGGAGCATCAGTCGGCAGTGCAGAAATCGGCTTTCAGTGCCTTTGTGCATTTCAACGAGGATGCTGCAGCTGGATACACTGTTTGCCATGCGGTGTGGTGCAGCTTGGTTGCACAAAGTTCAGACACTTCGGCGCTTTGCCGCGGGGAACAACATGTCAGAAACTGGCGCATGTTTGTATCGTATCCAGCATCTTCCACTGAGTCATCATTGTAGAACGGCCAACGCTCTGGATTTGTCCAACTCTCCAGTTCCGACTGGTTCGGGATTTGGGGAGTTTTGCTAGTAACAAGGGGCATCGCTACCAGTTGCAAGAAGCTACTAGCAGCTCCTGGCATTACTACTAGTAACAAGAGGCTGCTAGGTGGAGGCCATCGCTATGAACGTAACAAGGAAGGCTTCGCGAAGGCTTCTCGAAGGCCAGGCATCGACTCGCAAGGACTCGAGCTCAGCGACGACTCGAGTGCAGCGCTGAACGACTCAGGTGGAGAAGATGAGCTCCTCTCGGCTGGTGATGACTACTGTGTGAAGCGCTGGGACGTGAGGCAGGATGAACTACCTGGGACTTCCGGTGGTTCTTTGTTACTACTAGCGTGGCACTTGTTACTACTAGCATGGCACTTGTTACTACTAGCGTGGCACTTGTTACTACTAGCGTGGCA